CATTTCAATCATATTAACTTTGTTGGATCCATTTCCTTTAGGAATAGGTTTAGCCGGTTCCTTCTTCCGAAAGAAATAGTTGGGAGCCAAGTGGTTGGTTCTACCACAGACAAAGCAGAACTTTCCATCTGACTTATGGCTGGAAGAATTAGGATTTGGTTTGAAGGAAGATTTGTTGAAAGATTTGTTATTTTTCTTGAATTTCTTCCCTTTGGGTTTGAAATTCTTAGATTTAGGCTTATCCTCTACCAAGTTTACTTTAGCTTTTGTTTCATTCTTGGTATTGGAATTTTGCCTATGCTGGTCTTCAATACGAATAGCCTTGAGGGCTTCAGTTAAGGTTAGATCTCCTTGCTTGTGTCGGAGATCTCCAGCAAATCTAGATCAGGAAGGAGGGAGTTTATCAACCAAACATGAAACTTTATAATCGTCAGTAAAAGTGTTTCCTTTTGATTGGAGATGACGGAGGAAATCTAGGAATTCATGAATTTGTTCATTAATAGGCTTGTCATCAACCATCATGAACTTATTGAAGGAGGAGGAGGTGAAACGCAGAATTCCGGCATCATCATAGCCATATTCTGCTTCAAGAGCATTTCATAGGTCTTTTGCACTTTTGAACTCATAGTATATGTCATAAAGGTTGTCCGCAAGTGCACTAAGAATCCTATGACAATAATGATAGTTGATTTCTTCTGGTTTCATAGAGTTAGAAAAGGAGCTAGCACCAGAACCAGAAGTGGAAGGAGCAGGCTGTGCAGGATCAGGAGTCAAAGGTTGAGAACCACTAGTAGAAGACTCAGGAGTGTCAATAGCAGATAAAAGACCTAAGGTAGTGAGCCAGTATTTCATCTGATTAGCCCACCGTTTATAGTTGACACCGGTGAACTTCTCAGGTTTGACACTTTTTGAATGATCAGGAATTGCCATAAGTCCAATTTGAGTTTACTAGTCTAGGTAGATGTAATCTGATCAAATAAAGGATTTTGTCAATACTACTAGACCAGAAACTTAATTAAACCTGCTCTTAACCAAAAACTCTAAAAGTGAAAAGATTAAAGTTTTACTTAGGTAGTTTGGCCAGGTAAGGATAGTACTAGAGGTTGATCAAAAATCTATTAAGTACCTCGTTTCTTGCAGAGCGCTTTGTTAGACCCTAAGGTCGCTATGAAAGAACCCTAGAGGGGGGTGAATAGGGTTTATGCTAATCTAATCCGATTTTATACCAATTAAAACTTACTAACAATTATCCTAGCAAATATGATGTATGGTGAAATATATGTAAGGATATATAACAAACACAAGGGTGATATATAAACTAGTGGACAATATAAGCAAGGCGCAATGGGCTATAAGATGAACAAAAATAGGTGCGTCAATGCAAACCAAACACACGATATGATCACGGAGTTCGGACCTCCGTCCTATGTCTCCGCTCCCCACTCTCGGGGAGAATCCACTACACAATCCGATTTGGAAGTCGGAACTTCTCTACACACTCGGTTTTCTAACTAACCGAAAACTCTACACACTCGGTTATCGAGTCAACCGACAACTCTCACAAATCCTCACAATGTACATACACTAGCAACAACCTCAAGTGTTGGTCATCACGTATCGCCTCCCTCAAGTGTTCGGAATTACCACCTCTCACTAGGCTACCGACGCCACTCCTCTCGGTATCGACTACGTCCTCACCACACACTCCTCTCGGTGTACAAGTGTATTACAAAGTGATCTACACAATTAGGGCTCATAACAAATGATTTGTTCTCTAATATAGATGAGAACAAATGAAAGCTCACACTCTTAGTCACAAACCCACAACCCCAAATTATACTATGAATGTAAATACAATAAGCTCAATGGTTGTGTGTGAACAAAGAGATATAAATCAAAACTAAACTCAATCTAATTCTAGCTTAATAACAATGATAATCAAATATATAAAAGAGCTAGAAATAGAGTTTAGGAAACTTCTCAATAGATGACAAGAGATGGAGGGAGAATAATTGATTGCTCAAACTCCAATAGATGATCTCCTCAAGCTCTTGTGGAATTGAATTCACAAACTCAAACACCCAATTGCTTAAAAGCTTCTTAAATAAACTTAAACCAAACTTAAACTCTTGTTTAAAACTCTTTAAACTTGTTTAAAATATTTCTTGAGTACCCTTAGAAGTATGAGGGCATGGGGTATATATAGGCTCATGAAACAAGCCCAAAAACCAAGAAAAACACCCCCAAAACATTAAAATAAACAAAAAACAGAACTAGCCATTAATGTGCAACGGTAACTTGCGCGGTCGACCGCAGAGCCTCGTCCGGTCGACCGCACTGTTCACAGCAACAAAAAAAGCTTTCTGGACATTTCACGGTCGACCGCGGTACTGTAGTACTGCGTATCCAGCTTTTTAAAATCAATTAAAAATAGTAAATCAACTCTAAAAATTATAAACTTTTCAGGGAAGGTTCTAGACATGTATAATAATATGTTAGAGAAAGAATTTCTGAAAAAAAATTTCCCAGTTAATAGAAATAAATGTTTTAACATAGATATACAGTTTCTGAAAATCTGCTGATATACATAATTTTGTAAAATCAATTTGGAACAGTAAAACAACTCCAAAAATGGTAAAAATTTGAGGAAAGTTTCTAAACATGTAGATAAACATATTAGAGAAATAATTTCTTAAATATCACTTACCATTTGTGAAAACTCATCTATTTTGTAAAAATTATGCACGAACATGCACGAACGTTAACTTGTTAAAACTTGATTTTTACAAAACAAATTCAAACAACTTTGAAACACTTTCAAACATTCTTATAGACTTAATAAAGGATATTAAATGTTTTTATGAAGTCTATAAACTAGAAACACAATATTTTTATAAATATGCATATTCTTCGTAATATATTCTTAAACATAATAGAGTATGAAACATATGATTATATATATGAATGTAAATTTGTTTCATATCTATATAGCTAAACCAAAACACAATAACAAATATGAAATATGTAATCTCATATTTATAAACATGAAAACTCAAAACATGTATGTATATATATAACTATATATATACATAGAAACCAATCATGTACGTATATATGAAACTATATATACATGGAAACCAATATAATGTGTGTGTATAATATTGAGCTTAAAGTACTAACACACATAATATAAAACCTAAACTAATGTTACCCAAGCTTAATCTTGATCTTCATTGTAGCTCAACTTAGTAAACTTGCGGATGAAGCTTGAACTTGTATCTTTAACTTGAATTGCGTTACTTTACTCTACTATTCCGCCAACCTCCATTGGATATGATCGTAAATGCGCAATATCATCCATCCTCCAACTCGTTGTTTGCCTAGAATAAATACGAAAACACAAACACTAGACAAACAACATTAGATGTAAATTGTTTGCTAAATCACCATCAAAACAAGAAGGCCAACACGCTTTACGCAACCCTTAAACCTTGCCTTAGACACCAACTAATCTAAGAAAACTTGAACCGGTTCACTTAAAGATTTTTTTTTCTTTACTCTATATATATATATGAAAAGTGACAAATGCAGAAATTGAGTACAGAAGCAGAATTTTTTTTTCTTTTTTAACTAATTTAGATGCAACAAATTAAAATAATTAACTAATACAACAAGTAATATATGAAGATTCGGGTGAACAGTAATCCCGATGAACAGTTTTTTTTTAATTTAAATTAACAGTAAGAAAATTTTTCAATCTTCTAGATTGCTGTCAAAACAGGAATATAATAATAGAAAATCCAAATTAAAGAGTTAGAAAATTCAGGCCTGATCGGGAGCAGTCGTGATGTCACTGCCCTAGAAGATTGAGGACCCGTCTATCGCCCTGGCGCAATCTGTCCCCTCTCCCCTAGCGGTAAAAACCCCCAGAATCGGCCGGCCTCTGCACTCGGGTGTGAGTCACAGAGCTTATGCTCAGACAAAAAATGGTTGCCCAAAATATAAATGTAAATATGTAGCCAAAATATTCTTGGAGAAATGAGACTAGAGAAAGAAGAGAGCTTAGAAGTAGTTCTTCTCTTCGTTGGTGTACCTCTAAATGAGCTCCAAGCCTGCTTATATAGGTGGGGAGAAGTGTAACCCCCGCTGAATCTAAGGGACCGTTACGCACAAATCTTGCTTCAGTTACCGCATGCAGCCGTTACAAAACGTGCAAAACGTGCAAAAATAAAAGTTTGAGAAGCAAAAATGTGTGCGTGTGCGGTGCGACGCGCGAGGCGAGGCGTGCGTGCGCGCGTGAGATAGATATGCAAAGCCCACAAAACCCAAAACACTATTCAAAGCCCAATAAGAAGAGAACCATTATATACCCAATACTATTCATCTCATTTTCTAATGTGGGACTATTCACAAAGGCAAAATTGCCTTTTCATGAACAAAGCATCCAACAAAAGGTTGATGAAGATCTAGTGAATTATTGAAGACTCCATTCTGTTGAGGACTTGGTCCTAATTCAGACCTCATAGAAAATCTCGTATCTATTGTTTTATTTTCTTGTCAACCTCTATGTCTGTCATTTACTTATACTTTGAATTGTTGGTTTGATGATTAGCATTGTAGGAATCCCTAACAAAATCAAGATAACTGCTCTCACACTTGAAAATTTTAATAAAATAATAATAATAATAATAATAATAATAACAACAACAATAATTTGGCAATTCGTCTGCGCCACCCTCCATATTCTGTGTTATGCAAACATAACGTCCAATGGGATACTGATCGTTAATTATGGAAACGGCACGCCAACACTGAACACTAGCCTAGTGATCCAATTTAGAAAACATAAATGAGAACATCTCCTCAAAATAAAACAAAACGAACGTAAAAAAGAATTTCTGATAACTAGAGACAATGCACAGCCAGCTGCCAGCCCAAAGGATCTTCCGTGGGTTCGAGATTTCCACCAATCTGCTCTGCTTCAATTCCAAGGCAACGTCACGGTGAAGGAGTCCATTATTCACCGCGAGTTCCACCTCAACCGTTAATCTCTTTAAATATCCATCACTCTATAAATAGCTTCAACTTATCCCATTTCTTCAAATATCCCATAAATTAACTTAAGTCTTAATTTGCATCAATGGCTTCCTTCAATCGCTTCAAGGCTTTCATCTCTCTTGCTCTTTCTCTTACGTTCTTCATGCAAGGCACCCTAGGTATGCTATCTACAAATATATATTCTAATTTTGGTTGGGCACAAATATAGTTATTGATATCTGAAGTTGTATACGCTACATGATTGAACTTATTTTGATTTAAATTAATTAGCGCATAGTGCATTTCAAAACATGCACTTTCTGTGATTCGAGCATAATTTTCAGTTTTTTTTATTTTTTTTATTTTTTTTTTTTGCACACTCGCTGTAGTGATTGATAACAATAATTGTGCACTATAAGCAACTCTTACAATCGTTGCAGGAGGAATAACATGCGAGAAGTTGGACAGCAGCAAATGTGCATTTGCTGTTTCATCATCAGCCAAACGCTGCGTCTTAGAGAACAGACTGCGAAGGGGAGGGCAGATTGAATTCTCATGTCGAACTTCAAACATCGATGCTGAGAAGCTCGCGGACTTGATTGAGACTGATGAATGCATCAAAGCCTGCGGGCTTAGCAGGAGCACTGTTGGCATCTCTTCCGACTCTCTGTTAGAAACAAAATTCACTCAGACACTCTGCTCTCCTCAATGCTACAATGTTTGTTCTAACATCGTTGATCTCTACTTCAACCTCGCTGCTGGTGAAGGTACGATCAGTTCACAACTTTAGTTTTTAGTTAATTCTTTTTAGTGAGCTATTACGGCTTATGCAAATAATACCGTAAACTATTTTTACCAGAGATAATACAAGTCAACAAATCAGCAGAAAATACCACATATTCGACAAAAATATTAATGACTTAAATACCATGAACTTGTTTATTTATGTTTTATAAAACTATCATGAATTTCATATACAATTCTCTATATTACAAATGAACCACATATTATTGTCAGATAATGATCATGAACTTGTATCCATCATAAACGATCATATAGGTTTCTGATAATATATGAGAATTTCTTAACAACTTGAAAGTTTATGGTTATTTTAATAAAAACAGCTTGTAAAATAACTCGTGCAAGTTCCTCAACATTTCATGATAGTTTCGTGAAATTTAACAAATTTTATTCGTGATTACTATTCCAATTGAATCTTATATTTTTGAATTGTGACACCCCCACTTTAGTCCCACATGGACTAGTGTAAAGAAATGTTAGTGGTTTAAATAGAGAAAAAACCAAAGGACCAAGAACACCTAGTGCTAGCATTTTGGCAATTAACTATCATGAAAGTTTATAGCCAACATCGAGTTACTCTCGCGGTGGGTCCCACGGCTTGTACGCGTTGATTAATCTAAATCAAAATTTTCAATCATAATCAATCCCATTTTGTGGTGTTGTATTTAGGAGTGTTTCTACCGAAATTATGTGAAGAACAGGCAGCAGTTTCTCGCAGAGTCGCCATGGAGATGCGCAGTTCAGGTCTAGCACCGGTGGCAGGGCCGATCTCTGGCTCCGATAACGAGGTGGCTTGTGCGCCTACTCAGTCCATTGAGGGCATTGCGGATGCCCCTGCAATGCCACCAATGTAGTATACTGAAAGCTTGAAACTCTTAAGACTGCCTATAGGATTGAGTGTATAATGTTGGACATAGGCAAACTTGATAGTGTGAAATATTTGTATCAACTTCATATGTTAAAGTTTCATATTATGATATGTTAAATAGATTAATACATAATATGTAATATTATATTTGATGGTGCTTATTTTTTGTTTAAGGTAGAATTTCACTGTTAGATTTTCTAATCTTTTTTTTAATGGTGGTTAAGAGAGCAATCTAACTATAGTCTAACGTGTTGTGCGCAACAGAAATTTCGGCAGAATTTCTGGTGCACAATAAGAGAGAAAGATCAATAAGAATTCCTATCTCACCAAGAAAACAAGAATTTGAAGCGAATATCTTAACAAAGTGGGATATCAGCTCTTCTTCTCATCAGTTCTAGGACTGACTTGTCGAGGGAACCTAATAAACTATTACAATGGTCACAAACAGTAAATCAGACAAGTTTTACGTGGTTCGGTAATTTGCCTATGTCCACGGGGCAAGTAGGGGGATCTACAATTAGAGGGGAGAGAATACAACTAGGGTTTACAATCACTCAATCTAAACCCTCACACAATCTCTCAAACCCCCAACACAAATATCTCTCTCAAAAGCACAAAAGGACTGTTTGCACGAAGCCAAAGAAAGCCTCTGACTTTTTCTCTGTAGCCGCCTAAAAAGAATGCTTCCTTGCACCTCTGCCTACGCCGCAATTCTCTTTCTCCGCACCTGCTTGCACCTCTACCTGCGCCCCCTCTTTTTCATCAAGCCAACTGTTCACGAAACCCTAGGTGATATTTATATCTGTTGTGTCTTCGGGTGGGCCAGAACCCGAAGTCCAAGAAACCAAAAAATTCAAACTGCTGGCTCTTAGCTAGCCTCTTACGCGGTTAGCTAAAATCCTCTGGCTCTTGTACGTGATTCCATCAATCAATAATTCTCCACCTCGGTGAAGTTTTCCCAAAACTGAGGCAACACCAACCAAACCAAATGTCTCACTTATTACGTCTAGTACGAAGTGAAACAAATTACGACAACGGACTCAATCCACAACAAGTCGAGAACCCAAATGAGAATGCAAGCACTCTCCAAATGTCGGTATCAACTAACAAATTGGCTGCATCATAAAGACTGCCTACGTATCCTCTTGCCCAAGGATTCAAACATTCACGTAGTTCACCCAAATGGTCGCGAACGACCTCAATCCAATAGAAGAGTTCGCAACTCTTTTCCAATATCATCAACTCTGTGGCTGATAGCACCTCCAATTGCCTCAAACTCCTCCACGTGAGGTGAACCAATGGCTATATCCAAACTGCATCTATCAGGTGCACTCGAATCAAAATCCAACTCATCATCTGCATCCAAAAACAAATGATCTTCAAACTATGTCACCTCAGTTGGAATCCCAAATGATGCAGTATGATATGGAGAATGTGAAGTAATCTCCACCCAATGTGAAGTAGCATCACTCTCCACCTTCTGTGATACCTCTATGATCTGTCTAAAACTCTCCACCTGCTAAGAGTCAATTAGCTCCCTCATCGAAGCCTCAACCGAAGTGACACTACCAGACCAAACACCCAATTGAGTTATACCTCCTATCACAGTAGTTGACAACTCTTTAAAGAATGACCCGAATATGTCGAAGCCTCAGTCCAAAAACTCTTCTGCAGACCATTACTTGACAACAAACATCTATCCTCCTCCAGCAAGGCACGGCTCTCCAAATTTGTCACCCTATCTAGTTGCCCCAAGATTTCCTTTCCAACAAAGTGTCTCGAAATGCTGTGAGCTCGGTTCCAATGTAAAAACAGGTCCATCTTGTACCTCCTATCAAAACCAGAATGAAGTACCTTCACCTTTCTGTCCATCTTACACTTCTTCAAACTGTTAGAGACTACTAAGACTTTCTTCAATGAGGATTTGATTGTAACCCAAACACACCTAGAACAGTCACCAACAAAGGAAACCAAACGCCTATTACCTCCCAATGATGCCCCCTTGGAAGGCCCCCAAACATCCACGTGAACTCCTCCAGAACGACCCTTAGCACGGTGAATAGAGGTGCCACACTTCACCTCGGTCTTCTTGCTCACATCAACATGTTCACTGGACTTTAAATTGCAGGTCTTTACACCCTCTTTCAATCTATGCGAGGAATCAATACTGGAATGGCCAAGCCCCAAATGCCGCAGTCTAGTCGAATCAACAGAAGTCGTCAGTTCTCCACCTGCCACTATACCTCCAGTCAAGTAATACAGGTTATTCCTCCTGACGCCCTTCATCAAAATACGAGAGTCTCTCGCAATCTCGAGAACCATGTCCTCAACACGAACCTTCAGACCCTCTCCAACCAAAGCTCCAATTGAGATCAAGTT